CCTCCGCGCTTCTGCTTTGTGGCAGGGAAGCCATGAGTTTCTGGGCTGCATTCTTCATTGTTTGTAGTTACTTAGTCTTTGCCTTGAAGCCTGTGTCTTTGGTCAACAGGCACACGCTGATAAGACAGTCACCCACCAAGTTAACAGCCGGAATGTGTCTCAGCCTATGAACACGTTTCCGGGGGGTGTTCCTTCTCCAGTTATAACTGACACCGAGCTGGAGACTTCTAAAGTGCGCCTTTTAAAAATAAAATGTGGGGCCCTAACCGGTTTGGCTCAGTGGATAGAGCGTCGGCCTGCAGACTCAAGGATCCCAGGTTCAATTCCGGTCAAGGGCATGTACCTTGGCTGCTGGCACATCCCCAGTGGGGGGCGTGCAGGAGGCAGCTGATCAATGTTTCTAACTCTCTATCTCTCTCCCTTCCTCTCTGTAAAAAATCAGTAAAATATATTTTAAAAAATTAAAAATAAATAAAATGTGGGGTTTTACTGATGATAATGCAGCTAACATCTATTCAGCGCCCATTATGTATCAGGGGCCATATGTTGCAGGGATGTGCATTAATTCATTTAATCCTCAGAACAACCCCAAGAGGTCGGTGCTATTTTACAGATGAGGACACTGAAGCACAGAGTGGTTCAGTAACTTGTCCTAGGTCACACAGCTGCTGGTGGGGACATATACTTCAAACCCAGGCTGCCTTTAAAAAGAATGCATCTGAGCAATGCATTTAATTCCGTCTTCGATGTATCTAATACATATTTATCTAAGTTGAACCACCAATATTTTATATTACTTAAGATTGGTAAGAAGAAATGAAGTTTATTCATTTATTTACTCAGCTGGCATTTCATGAGTTCATGGATGCCAGGCCTGCCTCCAGGAACTGCTGTCTGGGGGAGAGGCAGGCATCTAGTTAGGTGGATAGTCTATGATGGAACCACATGCACAGAGGTGCAAAGATCACAGAATTCGTGTCCAGAAAGTGGCTCAGTGAGTGGAAGTGACACGGGCCAGACACAAGAGCATTTGGACTGAGAACTGGAATTCACCCTAAAGACTCTGCAGGGCTGCTAGGGGGGCAGAAGGAGGGCTCTGGCCTGATCTGGGCTTAGGAAATGCACCTGGCACAGCATGAAAAGGCAATGCTTTCTAGCAGTTACGTGGCAAGTTCAACCGCCTCGGTCAGAACTGTGGCTCCACCACTCAGGAACTGTGCAACCGTGGGCAGGTCCTTCACCTCGCAATTTCTCATCTGAAAATTGCAGATGATCATAGTGCCTGCGTCACAGGATTAAAGTGAGGATTCTAATGTTACCATTAAGGAGAGGGCCTTTGGCGTCCTAGGAGGGAAGAGAGCATCTTCAGGCCAAAGGGATGTCTCAGATGTCCACGATTAAAGGCAGAACTTGGAAACCACTAGTTCCCTGACCAAAATGACTCGTCCTTGTGTTTTGTTTGGCCTGTAGAGTATTTTGAAATTAAAAATAATAAGTCCAATTTCCCAGCTTGTCTTAAAAACTCACAAGACACTCTGCACTCCAACATGGCAGCATTGGCAGGCACTGGGTGGCACTGCCCTCATGGACAGGCCCCCTCCCTGTCTGTCAGAGGCCCGGCCCCCACAGGGAGACCCCAGGTGGCCCCGTAGACCACACTCTCACTCTGTGGCTTCTCCGTACGACAGCCACCCAGCAGAATGTGTGTGTACCCGTGTTTCTCCGGACAGTGGGACAATGAATGAAAGAACTGAGAGGCTGTGTGTCAAGAACGGAAGAGCTCTCATCACACGTTATGCAGGACATTCTGCTTTCCTTCTGTGCTGACCCCTGGCTCTTGTAGGGGCTATGTTTGCTGCCCCCAGAGCCAAAGGAACACATTTGGACAGAGAAAGAGGGTGTTATGACAGCTTTAAAAAATCCCGGGGTGTCAGTCTAGGGTAAAAAAGGTCAAGATGGGGGAAAGAGGAGAAAGGCAGTGGACAAAGCAGCACCTCTCCTCTCTCCCTCCCACCCATCAGACACCCTGACAACACCCAGATGTATGGGGCAGGCACCGTAGCTGGTATAGCGGCGGATCACTGGAGGGGCAGGTTGAGGCATCTTCGAGGTGGAAGGCGGAGGAGCAGAGACAGGATTCATTTTTAGAGGCTCTGGGTGCAAGGCCCCCTGTGGCCTTGGAGGGGTGCTCTCACCCCTCGGAACCAGAGGTCCCCCAGGTGCAAATCGTGCCACTGATGAGACGGCGAGTCTGCAGGTGAGGGAGTCCTCTCTCTGGCTGTGTGGCCCTCAGAGCTAGCCCAGCTGGAAGGACACTGTTGTGTAGCAAGAGTGGGAGGAAGGAATAGGAAAAGCTCAGGTTTTAGAGCCAAGCAGACCTGGGTTCAGGGTCTGCCTTTGTTACCACCCCGTGACCTTGAAGTTGGTTCTGAACCTGTGTTTTCTCAGCGGAGAGATGAGGATTGGTTGGCCAGTTAATGAAACCAATGTGTATCAGGTGTGCCAGGATTCGCTGGAGGTGCTAGAACTCAGGAGTTAGCAAAACAGGTAAAGCCCAGGCTTGCATGGAGCTTGCGTATTAGTGGAAGAAAACAAATAATAAGCAAGTAATTAGTTATCTGGTGGTGACGGTGTAGATTGGTTGTTGATACCTTGGCTCATTGGGTTAAATGCGATCATCTATGCAAAGTGCTTACCGCAGTGTCTGAGTAGAGTCATTCATTCTACAAATTCTTAAGGAGCCGCTCTTCTGGGTCAGGCCCTGTGGCAGCTGGGCACGTGATGGGAACAAGCCCGTGTTCCTGTCCTGGGGGATTAGGAAAACCAGAGCCCTCTGGCCTTTCTTAGCTTTCCTGGCAGGGATCACTGGAGGGGCAGGTTGAGGCATCTTCGAGGTGGAAGGCGGAGGAGCAGAGACAGGATTCATTTTTAGAGGCTCTGGGTGCAAGGCCCCCTGTGGCCTTGGAGGGGTGCTCTCACCCCTCGGAACCAGAGGTCGGTCCCGCAGCACTGCAGGGTGAATCAAGGTCCCAGGCCCAGATGGACCTGGCTGTGGTCTTTGCCTCCTGGGGCCCAAGCTCACGCCCTTTTCTTTGCTTTCCCGGCTCCAGACCGCTCAGCCCTGAGTGAGGCAAGGACCCTGTTCGTGGATGTGGAGGAGTGTGGGCCAGAGGCCATGGACGTGAAGGAGAGGAAGCCATACCGCTCGCTGACCCGGCGCCGGGACACTGAGCGCCGCTACACCAGCTCGTCCGCAGACAGCGAGGAGGGCAAGGCCCCACAGAAGTCCTACAGCTCCAGCGAGACCCTGAAGGCCTATGACCAGGACGCCCGCCTTGCTTACGGCAGCCGCATCAAGGACATGGTGCCGCAGGAGGCCGAGGAGTTTTGCCGCACAGGTGAGGGAGGGCCCGGGCCAGAGCCTGGGGCAGAGCCTGGAACCGAGCCTGGGGCAGGTGTGCACACAGGTGTGGCCCTGGGCGTGGGCGCAGTGGAGCAGCAGGGCCAGTGAGTGCTGAGTCAACACCAAATCTGCTATTTGGCACTGGGATCTAGTCAAAGCCTGCCCTGCGGTTCTTTCTTAGTTCATTGATTTTCATGCTCACCACTTCCTGGCATAAAGAAGTGGTTAGGAGCGGGGTCCGTTCTTGGGGCTGAGTTCAGAGCCGTGGGCTCTCCTCCAAGCCTCACTGCTCAGCTGTCGATGGGCAGGAGTGGCCTCTCTATTGGGCCGAATTGTTATGAGGACCATTGAGATGATGTGTTTGAATGGTAAGTGTGATAACACCAAGGAAGTGCTGAGTAAGTCTTGGCCGTTAGTTTTGTTATCTGTTCATATATTTCAACAAACATATCTTAGCACCTTTTGGTATCAAGTACTGCCCTCACCTTGAGAGGAAGCTGTTTCTGAGATGGACCTAAAAACTTCCTAATTTGGGGATTATCCTGGCACCTGATTCCCACTCTTTCATTTCCTACACACAGTGGTCACTAAAGCCTGTCCATCCTGCTCCAGAGTACCTTTCAAATCCCTCGCTCTTCTCCATCCCCTCCACCACTGGTCCAGTTCAGGCCACTGTCTTCTCTCTGAGAGGATCAGCCACAGCCCCCTTCACCCGGTGCTGCCCCCTGTGGTCTATTCTCTGCACTACAGCTGGGGTGAAGTTGGAAATGACTCCCCATGGCCCTTTGCCTTAGCTCCTTAACCTGGCTTAGTAGGGCTTTCCCCACATGCATTTGTCCTTTGGACTATTTTATCCCCTATCTCTCCACCTCACCACCCATGCTCCGGACCCACTGGACTGCTCACTATGTCCACCGCTTCCATGATATGTTCGCCAGCCTGGAGCCTCTGTGATTCCTGCCAATCCCTGAATGCTCCTGCAGCCCTCCCTGGTTCTACCCTGCCCACGTGCCTTCTACAGATAGGGTTAGCCAAGCATGGTGCTGTGCAATTTATATACATCTTGCCTTTGTTATTTAATCCTCACAACAACACCAAGTTGGTTCATTTGCCCAAGATCACAGAGGTAAGAAGAGCTGGACATGGGTGCACGCGTGCGCGCGCACGCACACACACACACACACACACATATACGTGCATACACACAGCATGTGGCCTCCCCCACAGGCCTGGATCCACAGGAAGGCTGACTTGGCAAGGCTGCCTCTCAGGTTTGAAAGATGAGGGGTCTGCTCTCTCTCCCAGCTTGTGGTCAAGAGCTCAAACTCAGGCATCAGAAAACCTGGATTTGAATTCTGGCTCTGCTGCTCTTACTACCCTCAACACCTTCCCCTGAGCAGTGGGATAACTGTGACCCCTCCTAAAAGGAGGCTGCTCAGAATGAACAAGGACTGGAATTAAAGTCCTTGACACAGTACCTGGCATGGAGCAGCTGCTTCCTAAACGCTGCCTACTACTAGCTGTCATTGCTGGGTCTCAGTGAGGGGAAGGGACAAGGTGGTACCCAAGCTCCTCTCCAGCTCTGCCCGGCCCATGGTTGATAGAGCTCAGGGAGCCCTGCCAGTCCAGCGTGGCCTGGATGCCACCCTGGGTGCACGAGGCTGCAGAAGGGGCCGCTTCTTGTCTTTGTAAATAACAAACAAGAAGCATTCTCATCTCATAGGCAGCTGTGAGCATTGCAGTTTATGAAGTACTCTCTCTCCCCTTACCTCTCTGGATCCTCAAAAATCCTGAGGGTAGCAGGTCATAGGTTATCACCCTATTTTACAAACAAGAACACAGGCCCAGGTGATGTCACCAGCCTGAGCTTGCACAGCTAGATGTTGAGCAAGGTGGGATGGGCTCCTCAGGAAAGAGGCCAAAGGGACTTAAAGCAAACAGGAGCACATCTCATGTTTGGTGAAATAAATCATCTAAGCTCACACATCAGAGGGGCCAGGCTGGCTCAATGGGATCGCCGAACCCTTAGAGTCAGCCCTCACCCTGCATTTCTCCAGTCCTGGGATGTCTCAGCTCACTCATATTGACACTGAGTCTGGCTGCTTAAAAGGATATTCAGGGCAAGCCATATGGAAATCAATGCAGCCAAGGCTGTTTATTGCAAATAAATTTGATATTTCACTTAATGTAGCAGTCATTCTTCATAATGTGTGACTGGTGTCCCTTGGGAGGGCTGGCCCAGCAGAGCAGGAATACTGGGGGCAGCAGGGGGTGAGACTGTGAAGCTGGGAGATGCATAGGACGGGTGTAGAAAGATCAGAGGGAGCAAACTGGGCACACAGGAAGTGTGGTGTGCAGTGAGGGTGGGAGGCAAACTGGCCTATGGCACATTCAAAACGTTTAACATCTGGTCTGGCCCAGACCCTGGCCACTCAGAATGTCCTACTGGCACTGAACAGCCCAAGCCCCTGCTGTGCCAAGCCCGCTGACATTAACCTTTTAGCAGCTGCATCATGGAGAGACTGGGAGGTGATCTCATCGGGGGTGGGGGCCTTGTAGGGAACAGACTGGAGTGGGCAGAGCAGAGGCTGGGGCACTGGGTATGAGAAGGCTTGGGCATCAGCTATTTACCAGGCAGTATGGGACTGTTTTGTGACTTTATCCTCCTTGCTGGCAAGCACTGCACCCCGTCCTGACTGGAAGAGGAGACCCAAGGCCCTCCATTCAGTGTGGCAGACCTTTGTTGGCCCCTGTAAGCACCAGATTTTGTTCTAGGCACAGGGTTTCAGGAATGAGCAAGGCATGGCCCTGTGCCATGAGGTCATCATCGGTGGAGGGGTCAGGCCCTTAACTCTGTGACCGGGGCCACGGACTCTGAGGAGCTCAGAGGAAGGGCAGTGACTTCTGCACAGGGTGTAGGGTTAGGGGAGACTTCACGGAGGAGGTGTCATCTGACCGGGCCCTTCCTCAAAGGGTGTAGAAGGTTGGGGCTGGTGGGGAAGGGGCAGAAGGGGCCGTTCAGTCAGAGAAAAGGCACAGTGAGCTCAAAGGCCAGAGGGAGTCCTGGGCTGGGGGCCAGGCTCTGATGGGAAGACCCCTCCTAACCAAGCTCACCTGTTTCCTCCCAGGAGCCAACTTCTCCCTTCGTGAGCTGGGGCTGGGCGAGGTGACACCGCCTCATGGGACCCTGTACCGCACAGACATCGGCCTCCCCCACTGCGGCTACTCCATGGGCGCCAGCTCTGATGCCGACATGGAGGCCGACACTGTGCTGTCCCCTGAGCACCCCGTGCGACTGTGGGGCCGGAGCACACGGTCGGGCCGCAGCTCTTGCCTGTCCAGCCGGGCCAACTCCAACCTCACGCTCACCGACACGGAGCATGAGAACACCGAGACCGGTGAGTGGCAGCCTGGCCTGAGCCGGGCACCTGGGCTGCAGGACCGGGGTCTGAATTACACCATTGCTTGGGGCTCTAGTGATGTTGGTGACAATTGCTTTGCTCTTAATGGTCAAAAGTCAAAGCCTCCTGCACAGACACATGTAATACCCACCAAGCGGTGCCATGACAGAGAGTGGATCTCCACTCTTTCTTTCCTGATTAGGCAGGTGCCTCAGAGATGGGGAAGCAGAGGGGCCAGGGACATGACTAACCCATCCCCCACAGCTTGTCTGCTAAGGCCTGGCCGCAGGATCCTGCCTGAGCCCTGCTCCTACAGGCTCCAGCCTCCAGGTGCTCAGCAGTCCTGGGCCATCGCCATGGGCGCTGCCCCACCCCAGCATCTTGTGTTGATCAGAGATGGCTTCCAAACAAACACTCTCATGGTGGGATAACTCAAAACTTGAGGTTTTGCTCTAGTTTTCCCGTATCTGCAAGATTGTGTGGCTGGGCTAGACTCCGTATTCTACTCTCATTTCTTCAGCCCTTTCTTCCAAGGCCTCCTTTCTCTGGTGCAGGAAAGGGTGTCTGGGTTCAGAATGCTCCTCCTTACCATCAGTCCTGAGGGGCCCTGAGTTAGGCCTGTCCTGCAGTTTGCTGCTGAGGGGAGTGGGGAGCAGGGGAGGGAGCCTCCCTTTCTCTGGTGCTTTGGGACCCGCCAATTTCTGGGCAGCAAGATACTTGGGTTATTGGTTGCTTTGAAGGCTTCTCGCCACGGTGACAAATGATCCCTTTTCCATAAAGTCATGACAGAGTGAGGTGCACACCACCCACACTATTGTACATTCCCTGAGAGCTGAATCACTGCTGAATTAAGCCTCTGTTGGGTGATAATGACATAGTCAATGAGCCTGAAGAGCCCGGGCCTTTGATAATGGGGTCAGGGAAATGGCTGCCTGCTTCGCCTGGCCTGCACCCTGTCCTGATTATCCATTTCTGCACTGGCCACCACGCTCCAAGCCCCACTGAACTCAGGGAGGATGGGCAAGCAAAGGAGGTGAGCACGAGAATCTAACAGAGAGACCCGGCCTCTGCATCCCTTCCAGACCTAGACACCCCAAACCCAGACACCCCACAGGCACCCATGTGCTTGCCCACTTTCTCCCAGTTGGGAAGTTAGATTAACAGCTTTGTGATACTCGGTTCTAAATGCTGTCAGTGACTCATACTGACAGTAAATGAGCCATGGGAATGGCTCCCTTTTATCCACTGATGAGGTTGACAGTACTCTTGCTCACAGGGTGTCTCCTCAATTGACAGCTGAAGATGGTCTCAGAGGTGAAGGGTATATGGGCCTTGTCTAGTTGAGCTGGAGCCAGGCTCTCCTCCTATCCTGGTTCTTTCTCTTCCTCTTTTCTCCCTATCCCCCACCTTCAGTCTTCCTCCCCTCCTCCTCCTCTCTTTCTCTCATATTCTTCCTACTGGCCACAGTTCCCCTTCCCCTGTGATGAGAATTCAGATCTTATGATCGAACAGGGCTCAATTCCATCGGACATGTAAAGCAACACATCACAGTGTGGCCACTTTTCAGGAGTAGAGGGAAGACATATAGAGGGCCTACTGTGTGCCAAGCTGCTGCACATGTGTGACTGATTGCCTCAAATCCTCATAACAACACTATGGTATTTCCATCTCCCAGATGGGAGAACTGAGACTCCAGAAAGGTCACCTGACCCGCCCAAGATTGCATAGGCAGTGAGTCATCAAGTTGGCAAACCTCGGATTTGAACTCAGATTTCTCTGATCCTGTAGTCTGAGCCCTTTGCCCAGCTCCATTGGAATCAGGGAGAGGGTGGGACTCTCAACTGAGGTAATCAAACATGTGTGACCAAGTTCTCAGAGCTCCTTACCAGATGCAAATGCAAAGCATAATCCCCAGCAACTTCCAGCCACAGGAACCCGCCTCTGCCTCCACCCGCTCCAGCCTTGCATTAGTCAATAGTAATTGTCAACAGTATTGATAGCGGTGGAGGCTTTTGCTGAGGTCACAGTGATGCTGCGTGCAGCTGCCATCAATAATAACTTTTATGGGGTCCATTAAAGCCAATTTCTGCCCTTGAAGGTTAATGTCAGCAGCTTTTATGTCACTGCTTAATATCCAAAATAAATACAGAATTGACTGGGTAATGTAAACACAAATCTTCCTCTTCAGGGCCGCCAGGCAGAGCCGCCCCTCAGCCTCTCCCGCTGAGTGGAGCCAGCAGGCTGGGGGGCAGTGAGGAGGAGCTGGCACCAGGCCAGGCACACAGTTGGCATTCAGTAAATGTTTTCTAGAAAGCAAAGGTTGCAATGTGAGCTCTATTTCCACCCACCGGGTCAGGTAGGCACAGTGTCTCTGTTGTAGAGTCATTCTGAAATTTTGTCTATATACTGAGCTCCTTGAGTGTGCCAGACATTATTCTAGAATGCAGGATCTAGATGAATATCGGGGGAGGTGGTGATATGACAGCCTTGTGGCCCAATCTATAAGGGAGGGGTAGCAGGCAGTGTCACAGAGTGGACAGAACAGTGATTCCAGAGTTAGTGAGGATACCTGGCCTTAAATCCTGGCCATGCTGTGTCCCAGCTCTGAAACCTCCTTGAGTCACAGTTTCCTAAAACAACATGCCAGAGGTTACCAAGGGCCGGGAGAGGGAGGAATGGGGAGTTAGTGTTCAATGGGTGCAGAGTTTCTGTTTGGGATAATGAAAAAGTTCTGGAGATGAGCTAGTGGTGATGGTTACACATGTGAATGTGCTTAATGCCACTGAATTGTTCACTTAAAAAATGGTTAAAAGGCCCTGGAAAGTATGCTCAGTGGTTAGTGTTGGCCCCATGTACCTAAGGGTCACAGGTTTGATTCCCAGTCAAGGCCATGTACCTGAGTTGCAGGTTTGATCCCTGGTCCTGGTGAGGGCACATGCGGGAGGCAACCAATTGATGTTTCTCTCTCTCTCTCTCTCTCTCTCTCTCTCTCTCTCTCTCTCCCTCTCCCTCTCCCTCTCTCCCTCTCCCCCTCTCCCCAATCCCACGCTCTCTAAAAATCAATGGAAAAAAGATCTTCGAGTGAGGATTAATAACAACAACAACAACAAAAATGGTTAAAAGGGTTATGTATGTTTTACCACAATAACAACAACAAAAAAATCAGCATGTCATCTTTCGTACTTGAAGTGTTACCATGAGCTTGTACTACATTTGTGAGGTGTCTGGTCTGGTTCTTACTTCATGCTAGCTGTTAATATTAATTTTGCCCTGAGGGTGCAGAGGCTCATTCCTTCATTCCACTCATGGTCTGCACCTGGGCTCCAAGGCAAAGTGGGACTTCCCTGAGCAGAAGGGAGCCAAGAGGCATTCCCAGTAGAGGCGATTGTGCAAGCCAGCGCCTGGAGGCGTGAAGAGGCATGGTGGGTCTGGGGAATAGTGAGGATTTACTCCGCACTTTAATCCCGGAGGCAAATTGAGAAATTCACTTAGAAAGGAAACAATGAAACAGAATCACAGTTACCCCCAAATTATCAGGCAGCCTGGGTGTCAAAAGGGAAATTATTAGTTAACCTAATTAGGCAGCCAAGTTGCTTATTCAGAGTCAGAAGATTAGGTGAGCATCTCCAAAGCACAGTGAGAGAGAAGCTCATTACCAAGTTAACTCAATTTCTCCCCTGCCCTCCCTAGCTCCATGCTCATGAGACTTGGTTTTAAAAGTCTGTGGGAAGATCTATCATGAATTCCCTAAGTGGCCGCAGTGCTGTAGCTACCCAGCCATTGTCCTTCATCTGGGATTGGAAGACGGGCTGCCTCAGCTGGGGTGGGGATTGGACCCCCACACTTGACTACCTGGCAGCTTTGTGAGCTGGCCCACACTCCCTCCCGGGAATGCATAGGTGCCAGCATTTTCAGGGAGTCAGAGCCTCCCCCTGGACAGTGTTATTCGTGTAATAAGGGCGGTAAGGCCCCAAGGTCCAAGCAGGCATGGGAAGGGTCTAGTAGAGTCAGAGCACTTGAGAATCTGGGAGCCAGAAGAGAGCTGGCTCTAGACACTGACTCTTAACCTTTTCCCATTTTCTAGCCAAGGAAACTGAGATCCGGAGAAATTAGGTGACGTGCCAATGATTGCACAGCTGGTAAATGGTAGAGCTAGGGTTGAGGCAGATCTGCCTCACTCCAGTGACCACTGCACAATACAGTTTTCTGTAGAAACTGGTTTTTATTAGCTTAATGCATACAATTTATATGATCTGAGAGGTGATTCTAGCTGTTTCCAGAACATACACTTTTGTCAGCGTTAGAAAGTTCCAGAAAGCAAACTGAATCCATAACCTGTGAGAGCTGATCAGGAGCTAAAGATCATACCAGGCCACTCTGAAATTGTGGTGTGCTATAGAAAACATGTTTAGAGTAGTGATCATAGAGGTTTAAGAGAAAAATTCCAGCCAGAGGATGTCTGAGAAGGTTTCATGGAAGAGGTGCTGGCCCTGGGCTTTGAGGGCTAGGAAGGACTTTCACGGGTAAAGAGGAGGAAGCCAGGGGATTCTGTGTGCCAAAGGCATGGAGGTGGACAAACTTAAGTTGTATCCCATGAGGTTGGAACATCAGAGTGTGAGTGGAGCTATGGGGGCAGGTGTGCTGGGAGGGAAGGTTGGAGAGTTCAGTGGATTGTCTGGCTTTAACAACAATTTGTTGAGCACCTACCATGTGCCAGGTACTGTTTTCAGCATGATCAACACAGACAAACCTGCCCACTCATCAGTGGGGAGTCTGATGATATACAAATTTAACAATTCAATTATATAGGATGTGTTATGGAAAGGGGTGAGGGGATGCCAGATGGGAGAGGGGTTGCAGTCCTAAATATGGTGGCCGGCGAAGGCTTCACCAATGAGATGGCATTTGAGGCAGGTGAGGGGAGAGTGCGGAGGTGTCTGGAGGAAAAGTGACGCTGGCAGAAGGAAGGGCAGGTTCGGGACACTTGAGGCAGGAGC